ATGCTTCATTTTCCATGGATAATCAACCCCAGGGATAAAAAAGTTCAGGCGAGCGTGAGGACAGATAGAAATATAAAAGAAGAAGAGGAAAGTATAATAATAATAATAATAAGAACATTGCTCGTTTCGTTTGAGTCTGCCTCCCCAAATTATTGGTTTCGCTTGACACATCCTGAAAAAGTGTGATCGCTTCGCTTGATGTTGCTATATCAACATCGCTTGATGTTGCTATCTCAACATAGCGTTTCGAGGTGATAATGAAGTTCGGCCTCAGCGCTCGCCGCCCAATTTGAATTTTGTATAGGGTGACGATAATCAACTCTAAACACTGAAGGGGGGGGTCCCTTTATTATCATCGGCATGCGGTTATACACATGCACGCACGCGCATGCACTGGCAAATACGTCTGACTTGTATGCGTGCAGATGTTGAGGCTACTTCGGTCGACGAGTGAGCGTTTCTCGTCTTTCTGGGGCACAGGACGTGCGTGCGCGCGCGACTGCGTGCGCGCGTGCGCGGCAGCCACGTCCAGTTCTTGGAGACCTCTTGGAGGCCATCTTGAGCCAGCTTGGACCATCTCTTGCGCCATCTTTGAGACCATCTTTAAGCACCTGGGGCCCTTTCGGAACCCCCTTTGGGGCCCTCTCCGCACCAGAGGGGGTGCGCAAGGGATGGTCCCCGAGTGCAGTCTCTGTCCACGCCACGGTCGCAGGGCCAGGCTTGCGCGGCGTTCTCCAGGCACCCGTGAGGCTGTGCATGGTGTGGTCCCTGGGCGCGGTCTCGATCCACTCCAGATCGAAGGGCGTGTCAGGTGTAGCCCAAAAGGGGGTGCGCAGGGGGTGGTCCCTGAGCGCAGTCCCTATTCACGCCAGGGTCGCAGGGCCTGGCAGGCATGGTCTGACGCCCAGGGGGTGGTTGCGCAGGAATCTGCCCCTGAACGCGGAGCGCCATTGTGTTTTCGATATGCGCTTTATAGCGTTGTGAAAATCAATTTTACAATGTCCCTCCCCCACACATTGTTTGGACATTTTGTTTTCAGGCACTACACATGTGCGGCACACATGCAGCCGCGAGCTTTCCAAGGGAGTTTGCTATACTCTGAACGCCCGCGAATGGCGCGCGCGGTTTTACGCATGTATGCCCTGGGAAGAGAGGGCCTGATGGTGCGACACGGAAGGTGGTTCGGGCCTTGGTTGTAGCTTGGTTTGCCTTTCGTGTGGTCCAAAAGGCGGGCCAGGTTTGTTTCTTCGCGTGGCCGGGCGGACGTGCTGGTCATGGTTGTATCGTCGTTTGTCCTCGTGTTACGTGTGTCATTTTGGTGTTCTGCTTGATGTGTGGTCCACAATAAGCGGGCTGGCCATGATGGCAATATGGCTTGCCATGCTGCGTGTGGCCTGGCGGGCTTGCCAGCCTTCGTTGTACGCTGGTCCACCCTTTCAACCAGTTTGCTACGCCATGGCGGCATTCTCTTGCCTACTCCAAATATATTTGCTGGACAACTCTGGTAGATGGGGTGAAGTCCCATACCCTAAGACGTGGCTCCTTTTGTCAGTTGGACGCCGCCGACCCTCTCCCTCACACACACACACACGCACCTTCCCCCCTCTTTCGACTCTTCTTTCAGTTCGTATTCAGACGCAGTCAGCGTCATATTCACCCAATGCAGAGGCACTGTCATTCATACTTGCTCACTCTCAGACTCACTCACATTTAGACCCTTTTTCACCCAGGCTTACTCTTTCAGATTTTGTCATACTCAGGCTCACAGGCGCCCATATTTACGCACGTTCAGACCCACTCGCATTCATACTCACCTACACCCAGGCTCACTACCACTCAGACCCGCTCGTACTCATACTCATTTACATTCAGATCTACACGCCCTCGTACCCATAATCATTCATCTTCTTGAATCAAGCAGAGTGCGAGGATGTCTCAGGCGAAACGGTGAGCATGTATCAGTCCAGGGGGGAGCCTCCAGGGTGTTTGCACGGGCCCGTTCGCGCCCAAATTGTGGGGATTACTCAGGCGGACTGCCTGGTTTGGTGCCCAGACTGGATTGCCATCGAATCAGTTTGTGAGGATATCTCTCTGATCTGTTTGTTTCCGCACCCCGCGTGCCCCAGATTGTGGGGATGTCTCCAGCGGTTCGCTTGTTTTGTTGTTTGGACTCTTCGGCTGTCAGAGCAGATTGTGTGATGCCTCGAGCGAAGCGCTGACTTCAGCACCCCAAGGGGTTCAGATTGTAGGGATGACGCGAGCGGTTTCCTTGTTTGGTGGCCGAGTCTCCTGTGCTTCCAGAGCAGGTTGTAGGGATGTCTGGAGCGGTGCGCCGGTTGCAGGATCCCATGTGGCCTAGATTGTGGGAATGCCTCGAGCGGTTTGCCAGTCTGGTGGTCTGGACTCGTCGTTCAGAGCGGATGGTATGAATGTCTCGACGGAGGCGCTGGTTATAACACCCCACGGGGGGGCCGCCAGGGATGGTTGCATTCGCTTGTTCCCGGCCAGATTGTGGGGATGTTCTGAGCGAGGCGCTCGTGTTGCGCTTCGGACGCCTGTCCAGTTGGAACCCTGCGATCATTTCGAATATGAGGAGAAGGACGACCGTCAGATAGAAAAAGGGAGGATGGAGGAAAACGCCCGAGGAAGGATAAGAGAGGAAGGCGGAAGAGAAAGGAGGGCTAAGTCGAGGAGGGAGAATGCTACGAATTACCCCAGTGCGACCCTGCCTAGAAGTTGGAGCCCCTAGGAAAGCAGCATTAGTTGCTATGCTATGTTATGATCTGCTATGCCATGCTATGCTGCGCTATGCTATGCTATGCTATGCTATGCTATTCTATGCTATGCTAATGCGATGCTAAGCTATGCTATGCCATGCTGCGCTGTGCTATGCTAAGCTATGCTGTGTTATGCTATGCTAAACTGCGCTATGCTATGCTATGCTATGCTATGCTATGCTATGCTGCGCTATGCTATGCTATGCTTGGCTATGCTATGCTATGCTATGCTATGCTATGCTATGCTATGCTATGCTAATGCAGCGCTGCGCTGCGCTATGCTTTTCTACGCTATGCTATGCTATGCTGTGCTCTGCTATGCTAAAGCTCAGCGAAGCTAAGATGAAGGTACGCTAAGCTAAGATAAACTGAGGTAATATGAAGCTAAGCTAAGGTAAGATGAAATAAGCTAAGCTAAGATGAGATAAGCAACGCGAAGCTAAGGGAACGTCACTGGGGGAACCGCGGGGCGGATACTGGGGGAACCGCCTGGGGCGGGTTACACTGCCTGGCCCTTTAAGCTTACCGAGTAAGAACCCTTCTAGGCAAAGCCTAGGTAGGGAATAACAAGAATATAACGACGACTTACTAATGATAGCAACATTACTATTCACACCTTTACCACTACCAATAACAACCATGCGACTAGTTAACCGGATACTGACGTTAACAATGCGAATGCTACGACTAACATTAGTAGTAAAACTAATACGAGTACTCCTACTGACATTCATATTAGTACGAAGAGTACGGATACTCATACGACTAAGAACAACAATAACAAACGTAATACTACTATGAAGCAAAAAATACTAAGAAGACGAACGATAATAACATTAATAATAATATGCTTACCGATACCAATAATAATACTAACAACTAATAATGCTAACAGGGGATAATGCCGCCAGGGAGGAGACACTTGCCAGGGAGGAGAAAGGAGGCATGATGACGGAGGAATGGGGAGGAGGAAACCAGATCATGCAGGAGGACAGAGAAGGACGGCCGCCAGGGAGGAGGAGGAGGGAGGATGGGAGGAGGAAGGATGAGGAGGAGAACCCAACAGGACGGAAATGAGAGGAGGTAGGAAGAGACGCGATGAATTACGACGAGGAGGAAGAGCAAGGAGCGAGGAGGGGGCCTGCTCACCTCCTGTCTGTCTGTGAGTTGTCGCCGTCGTTGTCCATCCTTCTTCCTGCCGCCGTCGTCGTAATCGTCGTCCACTCGGATTCATGTCAACACCCAGACGTTCACAGCCAGGCACTCGCAACGGGACGTGCCAGAGACCGAGATGCACCTTTGTGGATCTCCGCGTCGAGTAGTGATTCTTCGGAGCGTTGGGCATCCCCGCAGATCTTCCCCGGGCTCTTTTGAGGGCTTCGTCGGATTGGTGTCCGTAAAGTTGGTCTGATGCGCAGCGTCCAGCAGCCTTCGAGAAGGCCCCAACATGTTCCGGAGGTGCCCCAACTTTGTTGGGAGAGGACGGCCCGGGAAGCCTCAACTAGCTTCCACGACGCGATTCAGGAGGCCCCCATGAGAGACCTGACACACATGACATGTTTTCAGGCTATGCGGAAGGTTCGATGGGATTCTGGCGAGGTGAGAGTGTTGCGGAGCCAGATTATGGCACCCCTCTTCTTCTCATGCTTCTTCCTTCTCCTTTCTCCTCCTCCTCCTCCTCCGACTCCATGGCGGCTCCAGAGACACGCAATTTGCGCTGAAAGGGCCCAACGTATCCCCCACGCGTATGGACCGCGCGAGCTCCGAGGACAGCGTCCAGGGCGCTGGAATCTTTGCCGCGACCCATCATAGAATGAACCAGGTCCCTCTGGTGGGTGGTGGTCTCTGGTTCTGGGGGCCCATGCCTCTCCAAGTGTCCTTGCACATGCTCTTGCCGTGGTTGCAGAATGGAGGCCACGCTTCCTTGCGACAGCGTTGCCATGATCCGCTCTAGAACCGCAGTGCGCGCGGAGCGCGCGCGTGGTTCTAATATGCATTGTTTCTTTTTATGAACAGGCTCCTTCCCGATCCCCGTTTCCTTCCCCAAAGTCACCGAGCGCGTTCACTCGCAAACGCCCGAACACCACATGTCTGCTTCGATGTAATTTATCGTAGATCCCCCGCGGCGGATCCAGGCCATTTGCAAGTAGCTACTTTGCGAGTAGCGGAGCGCGCTCGTCTACAAAGAGTTCCTCCCGCTGCCGCCTCGCGCCGTCGTCTCAGGAGAAGGGCTGCCCCGACGGGCAGATCTGCACCAGGCTCCGCCGCCGCAGGGGGGGGGTGGCGACAGAACCGTGTGGGGATTAGTCGTTTCCTGCGTGTTCTGCCCTTTTATGTGTTTTTCGGAAGGTTTCGGACTCGTTGGGGCTGTTAGCGGAGGTGTTCGTCGGTATATTTTAACCAATCCCCATCCCCATCCCCGTCCCCTTCGAGACCCCCACGAAATTGCCTACCCGGTTGGGGATGCGCCCCTCGAAACCTGAAGGGAACGACCTGCATCCCCATTTGGGGGGGCAAATCGGCCAGTGGGGCCCAGGCCACGCCGCTGGGGATGGGGATCGGTTCAACGATGCTCCCTTCGGATGTTTTCTGGGGCGCTCGTAGGTTTTCGGAAGTCTTCGGGTGCGTCCTGCCTCCTGGGGCTCTCGCTTCGGGCCCCATGGGCCAGTCGCAGAAGCACCGCCCAGGGTGACAACAGGTGGCCTGAGGGAACGGAAGGGTCGAGGAGTCCCGCGGCCCACGTCACGAGATATTACCGCGGCTTCGCTTCATTTATTGATCTCTTTGGTGCGTTGCACCTCTCTCGCCCGCGGGCGAGTCGCCAATCCAATCCAATCCAATCCCCGTTCTTCTGGAACTTCGGTGGGACCCTCGTCGCCACTGCAGCGTGCGGCCTGGAAAAAGGGTCCGACAGCCATGCTGAGCCATCTGACGTCCAGCCTCGAGCTTGCACCGCCACGTGAGGTTTCTCCATCAAGCGGTAATTCCGCCATGGTTTCACCACATAATCATTGCTGAGGCACCAACACAGGCAGGCCCCCGCGCGTATCGATTCGGTCACCACTGACTGCTGAGACCAAGCGAACGTATGACAATATGATGATCCAGAATAGTCGTGATGAAATTTCACGACCAAGCATGAGTCGTGAGGAAAGCTGCACGCATAGAAACTTCGCAAACCTGTGCCGAATGAAGGAGCCGACGCCTCACGTGCGCCGAGAGTCAAGCATGTGTGCTGACACTCGACTCCTAAGCTCAGCCATTTCCACCCGCCGCCATACGTGTTTCGAGTACCATCCGCACGCCGAACAATTATTCTTCACGCTTCGCGTATCCCCACAACCCTTGAGCATGTGCAACTGCGAGCTCGCTTGCAGGAGCGGTCTGCCGTCGACAGTGACGGCTGGATCGCCAATTTACAATGCGCCGCGGCCCGGACGTTGTGACCGCTCCCTGGGCTTTTCCTTGGAGCCGCCGAACAAAAAAAGTATCCCCACAACCCCTCTTGCGCAGTCTTCGTAGTGGCCCTGTACTTTGGCCCGCTGTCTTGCACTTGCACGGCTTCGCAGTTCGCTTGACCTCAGGACGCCGCGCGGGTGCCCGCTCGCGGTCGCCCCCAAAAAAGTACCCCCACAACCCCATTTAGACACCTTGCCCAGTAGAATTGACGGGGAAGGGACGGATAGCCACACACAGTGAAACAAAACGGGCAACCAGGATGAACAGTGAGATCTCTGGGGGCAAGGGGGTGGCCTTGGAGTGTCTCTTCGGGCCATCCCTGGGGCCCGCGGAGGGGCGAGATGGGAGGAGGAGGAGGAGGAGGAGGAGGAGGAGGAAGAGGAGGAGGCAACCCACCTCTTGTGGCCCTGGTGGGTCGCTCTTTGGGCCGTCTTGGGACCCTCTTGAGGCTCTGATGGGACTCTCCTGGGAGCCCTAGGGGGGTCTCCTGGGGCCATCTTGCAGGCCATCGATCAAAAGGGGGATGGGGGATCCTACTGGGGCCGTCAGAATCGACTCTTGGTGCCCTCTTGGGGTGCTCTTGGACGCTGTTGTGGCCGTCTGGGGGGCCTTTTTTGGGCCTTTCTTGGGCCTCTCTCGGGTCATCTTGGGGTCATCTTGAGGCCATAAAAATTTCATCGCAAGCGACACGGCGAGATTGCAAACATCATTTTTGTCATTCGGTGTTTGAAGGGTTTGGGCCTCTTGGGGGGATCTTGGGGGGCTCCAAGAGCTCTTGGAACCGTCTTGTAGCGATATTCAGTACCTCTTGGAACATGTTGGCACCTCTGGAGCATCTTGGAGCATCGACGCCTTTTTGGAGCCATCTTGGGCGCCCTGACCACTCGCGACCCCCCCCCCCAAAAAAAACCTCAGGGACAGGGGGGGAGGGTACCCCTCCTAGAAGGGAAGGGGGGGTTTTGGAAGAAGAAGAAGACTAATACGAGCACGAATCATCTTATTATTCATGGTACTACGACTACTACTACGACGACTACTACTACTACTACTATTACTACTACTACTACTACTACTACTACTACTACTACTATTACTACTACTACTATTACTACTACTACTACTACTACTACTACTACTACTACTACTACTACCTCTACTACTACCTCTACTACTACCTCTACTACTACTACTACTACTACTACTACTACTACTACTACTACTACTACTACTACTACTACTACTACTACTACTACTACTACTACTACTACTACTACTACTACTACTACTACTACTACTACTACTACTACTACTACTACTACTACTACTACTACTACTACTACTACTACTACTACTGTTACTACTACTACTACTACTACTACTACTACTACTACTACTACTACGACAACTGCGACTACTACTACTACTACTACTAATACTACTACTACTACTACTACTATCAATTTTACCACTACTACTACTACTACTACTACTACTACTCCTACTACTACTACTACTACTACTACTACTACTACTACTACTACTACTATACTACTACTACTACTACTACTACTACTACTACTACTAATAATAATAATAATAATAATAATAATATCAATGCGACCAATACTACTATAAGTCGTACTAATACTAATAATCATAGTACTAACAATGATTTTAATACGAAGAGAGACGTCGTTAGACCACGTACGCCCAGAGGGCTGGTGGGATATCCTTCCACCACCGTGATGTGCGGGGAGTTTACATGGTTCAGGAGCGAAGCAGACGCATGACGCGAGCGTTCGTGCCATGTCGGCGGATTCGCGAAGTGGAGGGATACTCAGATACCGGTGCCGCCACGCTTCCCTCGTTGGCGCCTCATCCGCGGACGACACGTGTGCAACGTGCCGTGTTGGCGCTTCTCGAGGCGTCGCCGGTGCTCGACCCTGGACTGGTACGGTGCACAGCTCTGTTGCCTGCGGGGTCGAAAAAGGCACCGTACAGCGTCGGAGCGGGGTCATACATCGCCGATGCACGGTCGATACATCTCTCAGAGGAGGAGAAGGTACCCATACCTCTACCTTCTCCTCGTTTTCCCCTTTTTGGGCGTCCTCGGAGGCCCTCGTCGCCACCGTTGGATTCGCGTCGAAATTCTGGTAGAACGCACCCTGGGGGAGGTCTGGGGAGTAGTGGTATCGGTACCTTCTTGTCTCCCCAATATCCGATGCATCGGCGATGCATCGGCTATGCGGCGGGGTCCTCCGCGACCCCATTTGCTTGAACCCCATTCGGGAAGCCTCTGACTGCGGAGCGGACCCGGCGGGGCGCTCACCTTTCTCTTCGTCCAAGGGGCCATGTGGAGCGATTTTGATATGACCCCCCTCTGCCCCTATACCCCGCCTTTTTCTGCCCCCTCCGACCTCAGGTGCACGTACCCGGCCGCGAACTCCACGGACCCCACCATCTGCGAGTGCGAGAACCCGCCCTTCTCCACCATCGCGGACTACAACCAGGACCGGGTGTCGCGGGCGAGGGGCGGGGATCGTGCGGGCAGGGGGACAGTGAGGGGGGCAGGGTGTGGAAGGGGCGCGGTCGTGCGGCGGGATGGGGCCTCGGACCTGTGACCGCTGTTTGTCTTGTGTTGTGCACTATTTTGTTGCTGCCTGTTTGCTCTGGCTTTCTCGATCTCGCGTGTAATCCTCTGGCATTTTCTCCACGGCCCCAGCCTGCTTCCCTCCCTTTCGTTTTCTCGGGGCCTTCTTTTTCGGACCCCTGGGCCTTCCCGAGCAGGGTCATCCCAACGGGAGGTGGCTCGAGGCCTCGGGGGCCGCGGGCTGAGGAAGCCAGCGCCCTTCGCACGGTCTTGGGGGGAGGGGCCAGCCCAGGAGGGTGGAGAGAGTCGACCACGTGCAGAGGGGAGGGGGGAAGCCTTCTCAGAAGCACCCCTGCTTCTTAGAAGGCGCTGGTATTATCTGTACATGTCAGGCCAGGGCCTTCTGAGAAGCAGGGCACTTCTAAGAAGCCTTCCCCCCTCCTCCTCCCCCACTCTGCGCGCCGCCCAAGAGAGGGTGCTCAGGGGACGGGCTTGGAAGCTCGCTGAGGGGCAGCGAACGCGATCTGTGCTTTGGGGCGACGGCGGAGGCCGACACTTCTGAAGCCACCCCCGCCCAACCCGAAGGCCCTGAGATCACCCCAAATTTCGGGTTGGGGGGTGTACGGGTTCCATCGTGTTTCCTCAATGTTCTGGAATGCCCCCCCTACCGGAAATCGTCGAGCCCAACAGAGACTTCAGGTGGGGTTGGGGTGGCTTGGCAGGCAGTCAGGGGGGGGGGTCATGCTCGTTGGGTAAGAGCACACCCAAGCAGCCCAAGCGTCAGTGAGGGCCCGCTAACGGGTCTACGGTGCCCGTTAGCCGTCTTACCCGAAGATTCTTCATTTTCCTCCCGTGCCCTGTGGAGAAGAGCCGCCATTTCGGCCGACCCGACCCTCTCCTTCCCCCCCTCCTCTGCGACCCGCGGGCTCCTCCCTCGCCGCCCTCCTGCGCGCGGGCGCCCTCCTGCCCGCCACATCCCTCGGTGGTCCTCCCGTGCCCCGTGGATGAAAGCGCCGCCCGCCCCCAGGAGTGCAACGTGGGCACCGTGTGCGGCGTAGGCCAGCACCACCTGGGGTCGCGGCCCCCGCTCCCCCCGCACGTTTTTTTTGTTGGGTCGGGCGGGCCCGGGTCGCGCGAAGCTCGGAAGCCGGAGGCCAGGGGCGAAAGAAGGACGTGCACGTCGGTATCGTTTAACCGATCCCCATCCCCATCCCCATCCCCTTCGAGGCCCCCACCAAATCACCACCCCAGTTGGGGATACACCCCTCGAAACCCGAAGGGAACGACCTATATCCCCATTTAGGGGGGTAAAATCGGCCAGTGGGGACGATGGCTGATAACCATACGAAGAACGCGAATACTACTACTGCTCAGAATAATAAGGATCATACTTCGCATGCGAATGCTCAAACTAATATTAATCACACGAGTGATAAACTCAGACGTGTAACAAAACGAAGACTAATGCGACGGACGCGCAGAAGAGAACCACTACTAATTACAAGATGAAGACGACGAACAACAACTGATATTAAGGCGACGACTGATAATACGACTAAGGACGAATAACACGCATGTTCATAGTCTAATACTATTAATCATACGACGAATCTGAATCATACGAGGATTGGTAATCGTAAGGGGGAGGAGAAGGTGGAGAAGGAGGAGGAGGAGGAGGATGAGCGGGGGGGAGGAAGCGAAGGAGGAGGGGGAGGAGGAGGAGGAGGAGGAGGAGGATGAGGAGGATGGGGAGGAGGAGGCGGATGAGGAGGAGGAGGAGGGAGGAGGAGGAGGAGGAGGAGGGAGGAGGAGGAGGGGGAGGAGGAGTAGGAGGAGGAGGAGGAGGATGAGGAGGAGTATGATGATGATGAGGAGGAGGCGGAGGAAATGGAGGATGAGGATGAGGAGGAGGAGAAGCCGGAGGAGGCGGATGAGGAGGATGATGAGGAGGAGGAAGAGGAGGATGAGGACGACGGGGGCGAGGGCGAGGAGCATGGATGATGATGATGATGATGATGATGATGATGATGATGATGATGATGATGATGATGATGATGACGATGATGATGATGATGATGCTGATGATGATGATGATGATGATGAAGATGATGATGATGATGATGATGATGATGCTGATGATGCTGATGATGATGATGATGATGATGATGATGATGATGATGATGATGATGATGATGATGATGATGATGATGATGATGATGATGCTGATGATGATGATGATGATGATGAGGAGGAGAGGAGGATGAGGAGGAGGAGGAAGGAGGAGGAGGGGGAGGGAGAGGAGGAGGAGGAGGAGGAGGGAGGATGGAGGAGGAGGAGGAGGAGGAGGAGGAGGAGGAGGAGGAGGAGGAGGAGGAGGAGGAGGAGGAGGAGGAGGAGGATGAGGGGGAGGAGGAGGAGAAGGGAGAAGGACACGGAGGAAGAGGCGGAGGAGGAGGAGGAGGAGAAGGAGGATGAGGAGGCGGAGGAGGAGGAGCGGAGGAGGAGGGCGGAGGCGGAGACGGAGGCAGAGGCGGAGGAGAAGGAGAAGGAGGAGCAGGAGGATTACGAGGTTGATGATGCTGCTGCTAATGATGAAGATGAGGATGAGGATCGTGAGGATGAGAATGCGGATGATGGGGATGGCGATCATGAGGATGCCGATGCTGATGCTGATGATGATGGTGATTCTGATGATGCTGATGCTGGTGCTGCTGATTATGATGACGATGCTGTTGATGATGTAGCTGATGATGATGCTGATGCTGACGATGACGATGATGATCATGATGGTAGTGGCGATGACGATGTTGATGATCATGCTGCTGATGATGAGGCTGCTGCTGATTTTGATGATACTTCTGATGATGATGATGACGATGATGATGCTGATGATGATGATGTCGCTGATGACGATGTTGATGATGATGATGATGATGATGATGATGATGATGATGATGATGATGATGATGATGCGGATGATGATATTGATGATGCTGATGATGATACGGTTGCTGCAGATGATGCTGGTGATTGTGATGGTGATACCGATAATGATGCTGATGATGAGGATGATGATGACGACGATGATGATGATGATGATGGTGATGATGGCTGATGATGATGATGATGATGATGATGATGATGATGATGACGCTGATGATGATGATGTCAACGAGGATGATGACGATGGTGATGGTAACTATCGTGATGATGCTGTTGATGATGATGCTTCTGATGATGATGCTGCTGATGATGCTGATGCTGCTGATGCTGATGTTGCTATGAGGATGACGCCACTGGCCATGCTGATGGTGATGATGACGATGCTGCTGATGATAATGATGCTGACGATGATGAGGCTGTTGCTGCTGCTGATGGTGTTACGATGTTGATTGTGTTGATGCTATCGGTGATGATGCTGATGCTGTTGATGCTGATGATGCTGATGTTGATGCCGATGTTGATTTTGATGCTGATGCTGCTGATGATGACACTGCTGATGATGGTGCTGCTGCTGATGATGATGATGATGCTGATGATGATGATGATGATGATGAAGGTGATGCATCTGATGCTGGTGATGATGATGTTGATGCTGCTGGTGATGGTGATGGTTCTGATGATGCTGATGATGCTTTCGACGATGATGATGATGCTGATGCTGATTCTGATGATGACGATGCAGATGCTGATGCTGAAACTGATGATGCTGATGATGATGCTGGTGATGCTGATGCTGCTGATGCTGATGATGCTGATGCTGATGAAACTGATGATGCTGGTGATGATGCTGGTGCTGATGATGCTGATGATGATGATGCTGATGAGGATGATGATGATGGTGCTGATGCTGATGACGATGCCGCTGATGCTGGTGATGCTGATGCTGATGATGCTGATGATGCTGATGCTGATGCTGCTGCTGACGCTGCTGATGATGCTGATTCTGACGATGCTGCTGCTGATGATGATGCTGATGTTGTCGACGATGCTGATGATGTTGATGATGGTGATACGTTTGCTGATTTTGATGCTCATGCTGTTGCTGCTGCTGATGCTGATGAGGATGAGGACCAGGAGGTGGATGAGGAGGAGGAGGAGGAGGAGGAGGAGAAGGGGGAGGAGGGGGGGATGAGGTTCAGGAGGTGGAGGGGGTGGAGGAGGAGGATGAGGAGTTTGAGGAGGAGTGAGACGATGAATTGGAGTTGGAGGACGAGGAGGAGGAGGAGGAGGGGGACGAGCAGTAGGGGCATGAGGAGGAGGAGGAGGAAACGGAGACGGAGGAGTGAGAGGCGGAGGATGATGATGAGGAGGATGTGGAGTAGGAGGAGGAGGATGAGAAGGAGGATGATGATGATGATGATGATGATGATTATGCTGATGATGATGATGAGGAGGAGGAGGAGGAGGAGACGGAGGAAACTGAGGATAAGGAGGAAGAGGAGGAGGCGGAGGCGGAGGATGAGGAGGAGGATGAGGATGAGGAGGAGACGGAGGATGAGGTGGAGGAGGTAGGAGGAGGGAGAGGAGCAGGGAACGCACCAAGGGGATAGGGGTGGGATGAGGAACGGGATTAAGAGTAGGAGGATGATGACGCGCAGGAGGAAGATGAGGAAGATGAGGATGCGGATGAGGACGAGGAGGCAGAGGAGGGGGGAGGGCGGAGGAGGAGGAGTAGGAGGAGGCGGAGGAGGAGGAGGAGGAGGAGGAGGAGGTAGGAGGAGGGAGAGGGAGAGGGAGAGAACCATGGGGGAGGGGTGGGAGGAGGAACGAGAGGACGACTAGGATGATGCTGATGATGCTGATGATGACGATTATGATGATGCTGCTGCTGATGATGATGATGAGGCTGATGTTGATGATGATGATGATGATGATGATGACGATGATGATGATGCTGCTACTGCTGATGCTGCTGCTGATGATGATGCTGCTGACGATGATTGTAGTGGTGATGCTGATGATGCAGATGATTATGCTGATTGCGTATGTCGATGCTGGTGATGATGCTGATGATGATGTTGATGCTGA